TCAGTACATCTGTGTGTACTGTCGTGACATGGAGGACAAACAGCAGCGATCAGCCCAAATCTCCCTGCGAGCCCTTGCCAGCTGTGCCATGGGCAGTCAAATCCCCACCACAGCCAGAGAGACAATGTTTTTGTTTGAGCTTGGGCTGAGAGGAAGGCTGATGTAAGTGTGTTATCGGTGAAGGCTTGGGGTGCAGCTGAGTTCGCTGTAATCCCTGATGTGTGTTGTCTTAAGTGGGTCCAGCACCGTGGGCCTGGGAAGGAGGCTGAATGCAGACCTCAGGGACTCATCCTGACCTCTGTGGGCACGAAGGTGACATGTGTGACCATCTGTGTGCCCCTAATAGCAGCAGAGGGAACTCACTCATCACCACAAATAAATCTTGTCCCGAGCTTCAGGTGACCCCTGTGCCTCCTGCCTCGTTTCTTCTCTCTTCCTGGGTCACTCCATCTTGGGGAGATGGTGTCAGCTAGCCAGGCCTCAATGTGTAAAAAGGCTCACATGGGTGGGTGACTATTTCCTAAATGGGCTGCTCAGGGGACTAATTCTGAATAAATTGTGGAATGGGGAAGGACTTCAGAGAGAACTCCCAGGACTCTGGTCACTTGGGCCGCACTGGGGAGGACCCTGGCTCTTTGTGAGCAGTGGATGGGTGGGCGGAGGTAGAAATGTGTGGAGGGAGAGGGGGAGCAGCAGAGAATGAGACTACCAAGAGAGGATCCCCCGGTAGTACAGAGGGGACTTGGATCTGTCCCTAGAGTAAGGAGCTAAAAGAAAGGGTTCCCCCAGGCAGAAGCAGCTGGAGAGCAAGTAGGCGGCATAGAATGTGCCTGGTCAGAAAGGCCTGGAGCTCACTTGGCCATGAAGTCACGGGAGAGAACCCCCAGGCCACACACAAGGCGTCTCTGATCTGCGGACAGGGTGATGAGAGTGTTGCTGACAGAATTGACCCTGTGTCTTTTCATATGAGGGCCCAGGTAAATATGTCCTGGGATAGGTGGAGCATGAAGAGGAGGAAAGAGGACCCAGAGCTGCCAAGTTAAGTCACAGGTTAGGGCTGTGGGATGCAGAAAAGTATGGAGTCTGGCGGCCTGGCAGGGCTGCAGGCAGTGGAGGGTGGGAACCAGGATGGCCAGGCAGGAAATGCCCTAGTCTCTCAGGTTGCAGGAGAAGGAAAGTCTGGCTGTTCTGAAGGGGAACTTAGAGACTAGGGACCGGATGTGAGCAGGGACCAGGGGAGGGAGGAACAATAGCCATTCTTCCACCACAAGTTGACCTTCCCCGAAACAGGAAGGGCCTGCCAGGAGGGGAGGGTCAGGCTGAGGGACAGGAAGGAAGGGGCCTGAGGGAAGCCAAAGGCATGTGGACTGTGTTTGGAATTTACAGACCCCTGTCTGCAGGTCCCCAAACATCCAGCGAGCTCAGCTCACAGCCTGGGTGCGACTTTCCCAGGTCCTGTTGCCTTCACCTCTTCCTCTCTGGGCCTCCTCAGGACCCTGATAACGAGGCCTTGCTAGGCTGCCCAGGGCCAGGATTTTGCTCACTGAATGAGTGTTTGTTACAGGTCTGTGAAACCTACCATCTTCACACACCGAGAGGAGTTTCCAGAAAAAATAAAGAAAGGCGGCCAAAGTAATCAAGGCACACAGCCTCCTCCTCTTTCGAAAAGGCGCCTATCTCCAAAACAATCGAGGCCGCCCATTAAACAACACTTGTTCAGTACAGAGGAAGGGCAGCGTGCCGGATCGCTGGGCTTTCCAAAGAAAACACTCCCAGTTGTCCGGCAGGCAACAATGAACAAAAAAACCTGAATGGCATTCACATGGGAGGGTGGGGAGCCTGGGCCAGGCCCTCAGGATCCTTGGGTGACGGGTGAAGGACTCCCCATCCGGCACACGCAGGTCCTCAACCAAGGAGCGGTCGTTCTCTTGGTCAGCAGACAGGGACACAGCAACCGGGTGCTTCTACAAGCCAGGGAGGAGGCCTTTGCTAGGAATAGCGTCAGCCAGCACTGGGACTTGTAGTCTCAGACCACAAAGAATAAGTTCCTCATGTTGTTTAAGCTTCCCAGCTTCAGATTTATTTGTTATGGACTTCTTAGCAGAGTAGCATATTATCCATCAGGTCCAAAAGATTAGAGTTAGTAATACCACATCTTCTCACATGCTGAAACTGAGAAGTTAATCTCAAGGAAACAGAGAGGAGAATGGTCATTATTTTGGACTGGGAAGATGGGGGGGAGGTCAGGGTGGGAGAGGGTGGTTAATGAGGTAGGAGAAGTCACTTCTAATGTTTTGTAGCATGGTAGGCTGACCATGGTTGAAAACAATGTGTTGAACCTTTCAAAGTAGCTAAAAAAAGAGGATTTTTAAGGGCCCTATTGCACAGAAATGATAAATATTTTGTGTGATAGGTAGGCCCATTGCCTGGTGTGGTCATTACACCATGTATACAGGTCCAGCAACATACTAAGTCTCATAAATACATGCAGTGAATTTGCCGATTCAATAAATATTAAAGGGGAGGCATGAAGTCTCTGGGACAAAAAAAGCCCTAAAGGTATCAGAAACAAGACTGTCCAGTTGATGGTGACTGTTCTCTCAAGGCCACACTGAAATTCCTGGTAGCTTACTGATCCTTTAGGCTTCCTGTACCAACTTCCAGGGTTGTTTGCAGAAGTGGGAGCCTGGGTCCTCCCCGCCTCCACGTCTTCACCTGGGATCCCTTCACTATAGGCTACAGCCAGTGTTACCCCTTCCAGAGCCTGTCACTTTGCCCATTGTGGGTCTTCAGCATGACTGCAAATGAACCCGTGGATCAAACCAGAGAAGCGAGGCCTGCAGAGTATTTGTGGCAAAGGGAAGTGGAAATGGGTGTTCTGTGCAGTTCCTGGAAGGCACTGGGGCTTTTCGTGGGGGAAGTGACTGCTTTGCAGACAACAGACCAAATCAGAGAGCTGCTTGTCACCGTGGTCTGAGGAACCCTTAGGGCTCTGTCCCCTGCTGTGGGGATCACCAACCCTAGCCACTTCCCTACGGTGACTGACCTTGAGGGCCCTCTGGAGTCCACGCTGTCCTTATAGCTACACCTCCTGTGCACTTGCCTGTGGGGTGCCTTCTTCGTTTTCCAGAGCCTTGTACACTTTCATTTTCTTCCCTTTACCTTTCTTGAGACAGTGTCTTATGTAGCCTAGGGTGGCCTGGACTCCTGATCCTCCTGACTTTAGTCCCCGGTGCTGGGACAGTCTTGCTCCAGGTTCATGAACTGAGGGAATTGAATCCAGAGCTTCTTGCATGCTAAGCAACCCATCCACCAACTGAGATATGCTTGCTACCTTCTTCCCTTTCCTTCTTTTTGTGAAAAAAAATTTAAAAGCATATCTCAGAAAAGCTGCAATGGCAAAGGGCATGAGGTGTCCAATCCATTGTGATGTGTAAGTGGCATTCTCCTTCCTGTTTGTGGTGTGGATGTGACTTGTAATTTTGGCTGAATAGGTTGAGGTTAGTGGGAATGCCATAGTGCTGTAGCCTGAGAAGCTTTAGTAATTGGATCTAATAGGAGACCCATCTTCACATCTGGCCAGATGTGCAGGGTCATCTGTTTCATTTACTTCATCAGTTTCTTTAGTCTTTTAACATCTAGAACAGTCTATAGCTGGTCTTGAAATTTCACAGCATGGATGTTAGGATTAGTTAGGAATTTGAAGGAGAGAGAGAATATTCTTGGATCCAAAGCAGGAAGGGATGGATGTGAAGGGTTCATGGGGGATCTGGAGACCAAGTTCAGAAGAACAGTGCTGGGGACCAGAATGAAGTGCTAACTTGGGCCACACATAGAGGTTTCTGGCAATGATGGTTGTGCAGGGTTACAGACTTGTTCATCTGTAAGGCTGGAGCATCTGCAGGTCAGCAGACAGAGTTGGGCGAGCAGTTAAGGGCTACTACGGAGGCACAGTGGCTGTGTCTGTCCCTCTCTCATTGATAGGAGATCCTGGCAGCCTCCGCCATACAGGTGCCGCGTACCTAGAGAAGCTGAGGCAGGAGATCCGGGAGGAGGCTCTGGGTCCGGCCTCTGCTCACAACAAGGAGGTGATGAGACCGTGACCGTGGGTGAGTCGTGGAGAGGCCCTCTTGTAAGTTGTTCCACTTCTGCCTTCCCAGTCTCACACACAGGGCCTCTGCAGCTGGCCCTACTGACCTGTGCACCCTATAAACATGCCTCTCTTCCTATGAAAGAGAGTCTGACAGGCAGGCGAACTTGTAGGCTTCCCTTTGGGAACTGGCTGGCAAGGACATGGACGTACACCAGACTGCATCTCCACACTGTGCTTTACAATTCTCCACACAGCCCCACCCCCACCTCGTTGCCCGGGCCTGTCCTGTGTTTCTTCCCATGGCTCTGAGTTTCCCCTGAAGCAGGGGCCTATGTAAGAAGACTCAAGATAGTGAGGATCCATGGAGGAACTGAGGCTGCATTTCACGTTTCCTCTTTGACCTTCCATTGTGGGTACCACCATCTTGGACCATGAGCATGAGGCTGCTCCTAGGGAGGGTGGTGCAGGGCATAGGAAGCCCATTATTTATGGATTCATCTCTAGGGTCCTTCTCAGTGCCTCCCACTCAGGACAGTGTTGACAGATGGGGTGAATGGTACCTTGGCTTTCCAGAGAACCATTTGGCAGCCATGATGACATGGGCTTCCAGGGTTTGGCTTTGATGATGTCTGTGTAGAAGGACCTTAGTGACTTAGAGCTGCTTGAATCCAGCCATCTTCAAGGTAACTCTGTTTTTGGGTGGAGCTATTGTAATGAAGGTGACAGGTCCAAAGTAGAGACAACCCAACACAGAAAAAAGAAAGCAACATGGAAGTTTATATCTCTCATAGTGACTGGAAGGAAGTGACTCGGTCCTCTAGGGCTTCAGTCTCCTCCAGCATGCTGCTCCACCCGCCACAGAAGAGGCCTCGTCCTAGTGCCCAACGTGGTAGCACCCATAGGTCAGGCAGAGGAAGGAATGTGAAATCACGGAACTGCTTCAATGCATCTCCACCACCTAGAACCTTCTATATGACTGCAAAGGAGAACGAGGATGCCATCTCCATTCGGCATGGCCACATAGCCAGATGAACATGCTGCTACTATGGAGAATGACGGATAGGCTGCAAAATCAGGCCACGTGAAGTCTTTGCCACAGCTGTGACTTGGGGTAACAGGAGTGGGAGGCCTTGTGTTCTCTTTCCTCCCTCTGTATTTGTTGGTTTTCTTGTCCCTGTTACTAATATATCTGATGGGGAGACTTGAGGAAGGACAGATTTATTTTGCTCATGGCTTCAGAAGGTTCAGTTTCTGGTCTCTTGGTGCCACGGTGGACTTGAACAGAACATCGTGGTGGTGGGAGCATGTGGGAGAGGAAAGCTGTTCATGGATGACCAGGGGAGAGGAAGAGGGAAAGGGGGAGGGGGAAGGGAGAAGGAGATGGAGAGGGGGAGAGAGGGAGGGAGAGGGAGAGGAGGAGAGGGGGAGGGAGAGGGGGAGAGGGAGAGGGGGAGTGGGAGAGGGAGAGAAAGAGAGAAATCTTGACTCCCCACACCTAGTGACTCACTCCCCCCACCTCCTAAGTTTCTAGAACCTCCACAAATGGCAGTACAAGCAGCTGTGGAGCAGGCTTTCAAAGCCTGAGTCGGGGTGGGGGCATTATATACTCAAACCATGGCATGGGAAGATGGTCAGTACCTTCTGACCCAGCATTCCTTCAGGGTGAGGTTGCTGTCTACTGTAGCTTCTGCTAGAAATGGGGCAAGGAAGTGGCCGTGCAGAGTGACTATTCATTAGGGCCGAATGGCATGAGGCTGTCCTCCATGCAGGCACAGGCTGCACTCTACTGGGGGAAATACAATGCAAAACTGAGCAAACAAACAAAAGCCAAGTCATGCAAAGACCAAGGACCATTTATCATGACCAAAAAGGCCACGGTGAGACTGGAGAGACAATAGTGCATTTATCCCGCTGAACCATGGCAGTCCTTGGGCCATGTCGGTTGCAGAGTGATTGAAGATTGCACTTACTCTAGGGTGGGAATTTAATGTCTCCTCTCAGAAGCACGAGTCTCCTGGGAGAATGTCTAAGGCAAGTAATGGCTCTCCAGAGAGCTATTTCAAAACTACTTTGTAGAATGGCCAGCTGAGAATTCCCTATTGTTGTCATTCTTTGGGACCTGGGGAAACAAACTGGAGACTTGGCCTGAGCAGGGTTGGCCAGGAAGACGGTACAAAGGTTCTTCAGGCTGATCATTCCCCTGCTGCCTCTGGACCCTGGTGCATTATCCTAGACTCCAGTGGCCAGTGTGGGGTGGGGCAGAGGAGGTGGGGACGACATAGATGCTACCTGGTAAATGTGTCTCAGACCCTTGAAAATGAAGTGCTTGTATTTTTATAAGGTGGTCTGATGATCTTGGGGCCCAGACTCTTCCTATTATGACCAGAGATACTGTCAAATGTCCCCAGTATGCATGAGCATAGGAGGAGTGGCTGGAATCTCAGACGAGGGTCCTGTGACCTTCCACACCCCCACCTGTGATGAACCAGTTAACAATCAATCTACAGGGGTGGTCTCTAGAAGCAGGCACAGATGACTTGATGGAGATGGGGCTGTTTCACTGGAAGGACCGATTCTACAGTACTGTCTCCTTGGAGCCCCGCCACAGTCCTTCCATGACCCTTTGTCTGTGCTGCTGTTTAATATGGATGACTTTGATCTGCCTGTTGTGTTTTGTACATCTTCTCTCTTGTCAAGTTCTGGAGAGAAGAGCCATGGAGCTCAAATCCTTTGCTGGTGTAGCCCCCAGGCAGCATGCCTCAAAAAACTGAATGATAAAACGCTATTTCCAAACCTTCATGACTTCAGCAAGTGGCCTCTTTATCTTGTGTATTAGTAACTTCTGTGTCACCGTGACCAAAGTATCTAGCAGAAAAAATTCAGGGAAGAATGGTTTGATTTGGCTCTCCATTCTGGAGAATTCTGGTTCACTATAGTGGGGAAGTTTTGGTGGCTATCTTAGTGACCTGCTGCTCCTCATATTTCTGTGGGCTGTGACAATGCACCAGGCCAGAAGCAGGGATGTGTCTTAAAAGGAACACCCCTAGAGAATTACTTCTCTGTTAAGCTCCACCTTCTAAAGGTCCCAAAGCTCTCAAAGTAGTGTAGCTGGGGTAGGTAGGGCAAGGGAGCTTCCAGAGGAGTGGGCTTCATGCCTGTTAGAGGGGGCATGTTCATTGGGAGTGAATCCGGTGGTGCCCAGGGATGCTGAGATCTCCCTTTACAACTGAAATGTCAGGAAACCTGGAGCAAGGAATAAATGATGGGTGGAATAGACCTGGGCATCTAGAGGCCAGTGTAACCCAGGAGCAGGTCATGGTCCAGCCACAGTAGGGAGCAAGGCCCAGCACCTGAGAGGAAGGGCCTTCCCTACCTCGTGTGCTAACTGCTTTTCTGACTTCCCAGTTACTGAGCCATTGCCGAGGTCCACTGATGGCTAGACACCATTCCTCGGGCCCAGTATTTGGTTTTGACTCTTTGCTAGTACTAAGCCTCCACCTATTCAAAGTATATGTGTGCCCTGACACTTGTGTGGAGGTCAGAGGATAGCCTTGTGTGTGGGTCCTTACCTTCTCCCTTGTTTGCGGCAGAATTTCTTTGTTATTTGCTACTGTGGACACCAGGCTAGCTGGCTGTGAACTTCTTGGAATTCTGCCTCTATCTCCCATCTCTCCACAGAAGCACTGTGAAAACATGCTGCTGACCCGAGCTTTACACAGTCCTGGAGATCCAGGAAATGGGATGTACGTATCTTAGTAGTCCAGGCCCAGCTTATCTGAGGGACAGTCAGGGGCATTCATGGCTATAGTGTTGATCATGGTATGGTTAGGATTGCCTACAACCTAATCTTGTGGAGGCATTTTCTTAATTAAAGTTCCCTCCTCTCAGATGATTTTAGCTTGTGACAAATTGATATAAAACTACCTGGCACTGAGGAAGAGAGGAAGTAAAACGTCTCCACATTGCTTTATAGTCTCCACTTGCCAGTATCTCAGACTAAAGTGGGTGTTTGGCCCATTCTTACCCAGGTAACCGGTTGCCTTGGTTTTCAGTGTAACTTTCCATGCAATGATCTGCTCATAAAAGATGTGGGCCATTTCTGCCAAGGGTACTGTGGTGAGAAGTGAAGCCAGAGACCAGTTAGGAAGGGGAACAGGTCTGGGTCCAAAGCTCAAGATTGCAATGACTGGATAAAGGGTGTTCAGGGAGCAATGAAAGCTGCCATGCATGGCTGCTCTGGGAAATTTGAGATCCTGGTCCACAGCAGTTAGAGACTTGCCATTGTCTGTTTGGGAAGTGTCCAGCTTTGCTGGGAGAGGCTACACTTTGGGGTAAGAGCAGTTCAGGAAATAAACGTATTAGGTCAGGGCCAACACCTTGCTGAATAATGACCACCAGGCTAACATTGGATGAAGCAGTCCAACACCAAGGCCAAGTACATCCTTGATGGAAAATGAATTCTCAGGGAGGAACCATGTCATCGGAGCAAGTTCCTTATGTGCCTTCAGCTGGTAGGAATAGCCAGATGTTTTTCCATGTAGACTCCTAGTCCTTAAAGACCCATGCTTTGCCAGCCATGCCCCAGGCTTCCTGTGGGGACATTTTCCTTGGCAGTGCCATTCAAGGTGGAAACAAGAAGTTTCCTGGAGGGTCGTTTGGTACAAAGATAATGTTCAACGTTCGCCCCTGCATGAGGAAGCCATGTTGGCTCTTGCCACTTCCTGGGTCTTCTCTCTGAGTCTGTGTGTGTGTGTGTGTGTGTGTGTGTGTGTGTGTGTGTGTACGTGCGTGCGTGTGTGCATGTGAGTGGAGATCAGAGGACAAAGTCAGGTGTTGTTCCTCAGGCACCATCAACTTTTTCTTGGCACAAGGTCTCTCTCTGGCCTGGAGCTCACTGTGTAAGCAAGGCGGCTGCTGCCTAGAGATGCCCAAGGATCTGCTTGGCTCTCCTTCCCCAGTACTGGGATTGCAAGCATGTGCCATCAAGTCTGTTTTTAGATGGTTCTGGGGGATCACACTGGGGGCCTCTTGCCTGTACACAAGCTCTTTACTGACTGAGCTAGCTCCTCAATCCTTTGACTCATGCTTAGGGGAGGTGTCAGGAGGAAAAGGAGGAAAATCTCCTTCCCTGACAGGGCTTTGCTGTTGGTCCCTCAGATTTCTCCAGTGAGAAAGAAAATCCAACAGTCTCATTGAACATATGTATTCTAGGATGTCGAGATTTCACACTTCATCCTGGCCCCAAGATGCCTGAACTGGAGCATCTGAATCAGGGTACTTTATTTCACCTCTCTGAGTCCCAACTTTCCTACTTGGAAGACTGAGATGTTTGTATCTATTTCCACCATGCCTTTCCTGCCATAAATGGACTGTGTACTCTCAAACCATGAGCCAAAACAAACCCTTCCTTCTTTAAGTTGCTTTTGTCAGGCCTTCCGTTGTGTCAGTGAGACTACCTAATACAACATGGTTTTCTTTTTTACTTCTAGAACATACACTGAAGGGCTGAAGGAGAGGAAGCAGAGTGAAAACGTGGGCTGCTTTCAGGCTAAATCATCCACAATTCATCTGGCTCACAATGCTAATGCAGAGTTGGAGCCTGCACTGCGGATTCTGACACAGGTGGTGATGTGCCATGGCGGGTCAAGGTCAGGAAACCAGAGGTGAAGAGGATTTAAAAACAAGAACAAAACCAACCAAACACTGAATAGACGAGTTATCACCACGGGACCCAGGTGACATCCGTGGTAAAATGGTCCTGTCCTGGCAAACAAACTGGTGGTGCTTGTTGAGTTTTAATAAAGCAAATTAGCTTCTATGCATCTTCTTATCACTTATCTTTCAAATAGTTTGGAAGAACTGCACTATGCGGTTGACCCACACTGTCTCAGCTGCACAGTTCATGCCGAGAGTCGATTGAGAGTGGATCACATTTTTCCTCACCTTGGAGGTAGTTTATATCTATAAACTCCTGTACACTGTGTGACTTTTAAAAATGCTATACTGAGACTGGGAAATGGTTTGCTTGGTGAATGAAGTACTTGCTGCACAAGCGTGAGAACTTAGTTTGGGTCCCCAGAAGTTATGTAAAGCTGGACATGGCGACACATGACTGACTCTAGCACTCCTACAGGAGAATGAAACCCTGGAAGCCCATGGGCCAACTAGCCTGGCTTTCACAGCAGCGAACAGCGAGAAACATGAGTCAAGCACGGCCGAAGGTGAGGAGTGACACCCAAGGTTGTCCTGTGATTGCCACACATGTGCTGTAGTGAGCGTGCTCCCCCCACAAATGTCACATGCACACATCATACATACACGCGAAAGATAAAAAGGTGTGACAACTGAATGGAACATTACACAGCCATGAATAAGGATCAACATGTATTAAGGCGAATCACAATATAGCACACATCATGAAATCTAATAACACCAAACAAAGCAATAAGCAAAACACCCAATCTCTTTTTTGAGACAGGGACTGTCTATGTAGCTCTAGCAGTCCTAGAACCCACTGTGTAGACCAGGCTGGAATTCACAGAAATCTTCCTGGCTAAGCCTCCTGAGTGCTGGGATTTAAAGGTGTTTGTTATCATACTCAATCACTTAAAATATTTTAAGAGGTGGCTTACATGCACGTGTGTGTGTGTGTACACATAGACATGCGTCATACATGAGCACAGTATATCTCTAAAAGCAACAGTAAGAACTCTGTAAACATTAACTGAGGACAAACTCCTTCCATTCAGTCCTTCTGTGCTACTGCTTGGAAATTCTGTGAGGCAGTATGAATTTCGAGGTCCAGTGCCATTGTTTACAAATTTTTGGTTCTTACTTGGCGTATTTTGCTACATACTAGCCATTTTTTTAACATTGTTGTTTTATTTTTCTCTAAGTTGTCAATTGGTCATTTCAAAGTAAAAAGAGAAAAAAAAGCACATCAAAAGAGTAGCTCGTGCAACTGATGGCAGTGTGATTCCCGTGTGCATGCGACTGTCTTCTCAGGGTGTCTGATATGACGCTAAAGTTCTGTGTTCTCTTCCCATGCCAGGTAAGAGAAGTCCTAGAAGGGAAGTGTGTGTGTGTGTGGGGGGGGGATTACAGGTTGTGATTGGCACAGACTGTAATTTTTAAAGGTGAAATCAATCATCAAATGCTGGCTCAGTTACTTCTGTTTAGGGGTGCTGGGCACAGACTTGAAAGACAAGAAAGGTTTCCAAGTCTAAGAGAGACTTCTGTAAACAAGAACTGAGGGTGATTAGAAATTATTAAGGTCTGGTTTGATAGTGCCATGCCTATAAAGATGGAGTTTTAGTTATTGCTATGTGTCTGTGACCACATATCTGACCAAAACAGCATAAGGGAGCGCAGAATTACTTTGACTCAGTTTTTTTTGGGGAGGGGTTCAGTGCATCATAGCCAAGAGGTCATAAGGGAACAGTTTTTTTTCCTATGACAGTGGGAAGAAAGCATGAAGTAGCTGTTCACATGGTGGCAGATGGAATGCCCAGAGTGCTCTCATGAGGGAAAGGCTGGTGGCAGATGGAAAGCCCAGAGTGCTCTCATGAGGGAAAGGCTGGTGTCACCCCACAGGTCCATCCCTAGTGATCCACTCCAGTCACCACGACTCTACAACAGGAGAATGGCCAGACTCTCTGTAGACAAGTGCCTGCCCTCACATCTGAGGGCCTGCGGGGGAGGACAGGTGAGCGCCCTTCATATATCTAGGGACTTACTTAAGCATTCAGACAATTAAAATACACCCTGTGCTCATACCTTAAAAAACACGTACTCATGTTTTTATATATTTTAAAGCAAAATTGGAAAAAAGCATAGACCAAAAATTGGCAGATGACAAAGATGACTGAATTAATCATTATGGACTATGTTTAAATAGATTATTTTGGTTCTGTATGAATGACTAACCAAGTAAAGAAACATTGAATTCACAATTATTCTATATTTTACTCAAGTAAATTTTCCTTTATTTCTTCATAATCAAAAATTCTGTCATGATGATGAACATTTCCACAGGATTTTATTGTATTTATAGAAATCATCTAAAGGATTTTAAAAATGTAAATGTGTTTGAACTATGCAAATTTTGAATATATTTTCATAAAAAAGTGTGAAAAGACATAAAAACCTAAAAAAGCCCTGGGCGGGCTGGGGCTGTAAGCTCAGTGATAGACTGCTTGCCTTGTGTGTGTGAAGCCCTGGTATTCAGTTTCTGGCATTGTGAAAAATATACACACTGGGGCTGGCAGGTGGCTTACAGGGTAAGGTGTTTGATGCTCAAGCCTGAATATTTGATCTTAATCCCTAGAACCCACGAAAAGGTGAAAGGAAAGCCAATTCCACAAAAATTTGGCGCGCGCACACACACACACACACACACACACACACACACACACACACCATGGTGCACATGACCCCTCCCCACCACATCATGCATACTCACATAATTTTAAAAATTTAAGCTGTATGTATATATAAATTCATCTTCCCAAAGCAAATCCTTAAGATATAAAATATGAAATTAAAGTGGGAAGCAAAAGTACAAATTAGAATTCGTAGATGTCAAGTGGTTAAGTGAAAACTGTTTAGGCACACCTGAGTTTTAAATTTAGTTTTGTGAGATTTAAATAAGTCTTGCTAAATATCCTGCAATCAGTTCACACTTCCAGAGTTCCTCTCTCACCTGGCTGCCTATGCAGGACCTGGATCTACAGCCTGTGAGTTACAGTTAGATCCTCATGGAGACCAGTTCAAGGACAATGGGGCTCCTTGGATACCACACACTGTTCCACGCTGCCACATAGAATGGCTGCAGAAGCCACATTGCTCCTAGAGCATCTCCACCAGCAGGAATCTGAAGAGGAAGGGAAGCACGCAGGCAGAGGGCCAGGTCTGCTGGCACGTGCCACGCAAGGCTCTTCTATTCATTTGTGGCGTGGAGTGAAAGCTCCATCACGCTAGCCTGACCTTCCTCTTGCTTGTGTTGGTCCAGTCTTCTCTCATCCTGGAGCGCCAGCCCTCTGACATTAGACATAGGACGATACTGAAACCTTCCATGGCTTTTGAAATCACCCCCTGCCCTCCCCAAAGAAAGACATAGAGCAGAAAACAGAGAAGTGTTTCACTGGGCCTGGGTGGTGGTGTTTAGTGAAGTGGGTGTTCGTGCTTTGCCTACGCCAAACCTTGGATCCCACGTGACTACAGGGTCCTGTGGACACTGATAAAGTTTCACTTTTGTATGTGTTTTTGAGTGTGGCGTTGTCTGAACCACAGGGCACATGGTGAGAGTCCCTTCAGCTCAGGTCTTCTGATATGCTGACAGTGTCAGGAACAATGGCCCAGTGAAGACTTCCCACTAGGGGACTCTTTAGCTCCTGGTAGCTGATTTGGGTATGAACCAGTAACCTTCCTTGGTGCACACCTATAACCCCTGTCTTGAGAAGTGGAGACAGGTGGATTCCTGGAGCTTGCTGACTAATCCAGCCTAACCGATCAGGGAGCAGCAAGTTCAGTGAGAGACCATGCTAAAAACAAAAACAATATGGAGAAAAGACTATACCCAGCATCCATCAACCTCTGGCCTCCATAAGCACATGCACAGTCATCCGCATTCACTCAAACGTGTATACAGAAACATCACACAGGTGAGCACACACACACACACAGAAAATGTGGTTGATGGTGATGCATACATCAGGCGGTTGTCCATTGTCACTGAGGTGTCACCAGAAGGTATTGTATGCTACCTATGGGGGCGAAAGGCTGTTCCAAGGTCTCTCTGTATGAGTGTGGCCATGACACAGTTCACTGATCTCCATAAATAGAGCCTGCTACCCAGGAGAACTAGGTGAGTCTAAAACCACCTCCAGAATGTATTTAAATTGCTCTGGAGTGGGATTGTTCCCAAGGACATCCTCACCTCTGGCTTTGCAGATGTTTTGATTGGACTTGACATTTAAACGGCCTTAGCCAAAAACATCTCCCAGAGACAGCAGGTTTATTTCCATCCCACGTTCCACGGAGGATGATTGCTCAAGTCTGTGCAGCACTGCATGCTGGGACTCCATCTCCCTGGGTGCACACGATTTACTTCCATTAGCGACAGTGGCAGCCAAGGCAGACAGATTGCGGGTGAGGGGAAGGTGGACCCCCGCGACTGCACCCTGGTGGAGCGAGAGGCTGCCGCACATTAACAGTGGGAAATGATGCTTTGTAAGCCATACGCTGCCTGAGATTGCATTCGCATGGAGACATACAACATCTTGTTATCAGAAGAGGCCAGACACAACACTTGACTGTGGGAGATGCAGCCTCAGGGAGGACAATGCCTTCTCCAACCGTGCACTGTTGTCCATTATTTAGTCTTGCAGATATTTCTACCAGAAGGTCGTTGTGGGGGAATAAGACAGTGCTTTGCATCCTGGACCAATGGGCTGCTGCAGGGTTTAGGAGGAGGCTATTACTGCATCACAGCAACAAAACATTTGGCTTTCTGGTACCTGGCGAGGTTGCTTCACAGGCAGCGGCTGAAGTTCTCACTGATGCACCCTCAAGAGCTTCTCTGGGACTGAAAGCCAGACTTGCTGGCACATGCTAGTAAATTCAGCATTTCAGGGGGAGCAGATCCCTGGGTCTCACTGGTCAGTCAGCCTAGCCAATTTGGTGAGCACCAACTAGGTCCTAATGAGAGACCCTGTCACAAAAACAAGGTGGATGCTATCACACACACACACACACACACTCCTTTGATGATGATATATTACAAAGATGAAGTACAGGGGACAGCTTACAAGCCCCACC